TTGCAACTCGGGCTTCGATCTTGGGATGCAAGACTAAAGCCTACCAAACAAAAAATGGAATGTGGGGTGCTAGAAGGGATATACTGCAAAGTTTGTTCTGGCCACGGTGATACGTAGTTGAGTCCTAGGATCTAGGACTTTCTGCGCGCTTTGGTTCCCCAACGGTTCTTGAAATCAGCAGGCAGTTACATCAAGAACCCTGATGATAGCTTACACCCTAAGCCCTAAAGGGTCCCAAAACCCGAAGCCCTGAACAAGCCCTAAACCATGAACCCTAAGCTCTAAAACCCAAAGTGCTAACCCCCAACACCAAACCTTAAGCCTGGCTTAGACCATAAAGCGTCAGCCCGAAACCCACCATCAGCATGCGGCTGTGGAGGAAGGGCTTTCAGGAAGATGGACAACAACAATACTTGACAGAAAAGACCCTGAAACACGCCTATCTCTTCAAGACACATGCGTTTTGGTTGTTCTGCTTCTTTTGGCCTCTGCAAGACCATCAATTTTGCTGTCGCGAACATCTCTGCCTTCATTTTCATACGTACTCTGCAGAAATTTCTCGAAGGGACCCTTTTGCAATCTTATGCAAGAAACACATCAATGAACGCTTGTGCCCCCATATGGTAGTTTCCATAAATCGCAGAAACTCAAAAGTACTACAGTCCGTATTTCAGAGACCCAAACAAAACTCCTTGTTTCTGAATGCCCCCATATTCCGCATCCTTGAGAGTGGCCTACTACCACAACTAGGCGAGCCCTAAACCACAAACTGAAAACCCTTAACACCCGCCTGGACTTCAGGTGAAAGATCTTCCAAAATAGAAGGTGCCACGGCTGCCTCGTGCAGTCGTTTTGGGAGCTTACAGCTCAGGTTTTAAGGGAATAAGCTGTCCGGCATATGCATTTTAGGATGTGAGAGTTCCGGCTATCCCCACGTAAACCTGCTTTAAGGACAGTAGTTTATATGAGCTACTTTCTGGGCTTCATAAGTACCAGTAGCGCATTCCAATTTCTGACAGTTGGTGCTGTGGGGTAGTCGCTAGAATTTAGCATCCGAGTTTGAAGTTTGGGTTTAGGACTTGATCTTTACTTGGAGAGTCATCAAGGACGCTCCCAGGTGGGTAGCCACACAGGGCTCGTATCAGGGTAATGGAACTATGTGACGTCAGCATGGGGTCTCCTCAAAGGTTACCGACCTGATAAGTACCTTTTGGAAGGTTCCTTAGGATTATAAGAGGACTTAGTAAGTAGGTTCATAATGGAGATAACTGGGGTTATCATATGGCAAATAAGTTATAAGTATACTTAACAAATCCACCTACCCCCCCAAGGAGTGAGTCAGCTCAAGGTCTAATGGTTTGGGGTTCAGTTAAGGTTTATAAGGGGTTACAATGGTACACACACACCCCCAAAAAAAACTCAGTGTTTAAGAAGCTAATAAGGAAGATATAGGGCGTGATAGGGCCTAATATGGTTCTAAATCTGGGGGCGGTTACCATCGACGGTGGGGGTACTAGACCCTAAACATTCAACCCAAATAGTTTAGGGTCCAGGCTGTGGGGCAGAGTTGAGGGCTTGAGGGTGTTTGGAGCTTACGCCTTGCATGTTCGGTGGAGGGCTGGTTTTCCATCATCATAAGTGGGTTTGGGGGTTTAGGGTTTTTAAGCGCTCAAACTAAGCCCATAAAATTCAGTAGTCTGAAGCCCTCCATTGGCCCGGAAGAAAAAACATTCCGATACCTACACTTCAATAGCCTAATCTCCCCCAAGCCACCATAAACTTTAAACCCTAAGATCCTAAACCCAAAACCCCAACAAGACCCTGCGGCTAGAGCCTATCGGGCCATTTTATAAAACTCATCAGTTCAGGCCACGTCGACTGGCCCATAAGAGCCTTGAAAATCCCTCGGGTTCCTTCTGTCCGTTCCGGGCCATATGAGCTATAGTCTAAACCCCTAGTATCCCCCTTTAGAACCCCTGTAGTAATCCCCTGCGTATTTTCTTATGGAGCCCCTTTAAGGAGTTTAGGTTATAGCTCATAATATGATGCAGGGGCCCAAGAAGGTAACAACATTTGGAAAACACCTAATATAGGGACATAAAAAGGCGTCGGATCTGGAATCGTGGTTGAGGATTGGCTTTAGGGTTTAATGATTCATCTTTGGGGTTCAGCATTTCCAAAAATTGGAGCCGTTTTGGAGACATGAGGGTTCTCGTCTGTTGGAGTATAGTATGTGGGAGTTTAAAGCTTTGGATTGAGGGTTTTAGTGTTTAAGGGATCTTGTAACTGAAGTGTGCAAATATACCACAAACATCATAACAAAATGGTTTTCCCTTCCTGGAGCCATCAAGCCAACACCGCAAACCCATACCACCAGATCCTTAACCAGTCACTATGCACCCCTACAAAAGAAGCTTCAAAATACCCCTTGTGTAATATGTAACAGAAGCTCCCCTACTCCTCTTAGCATCCCTGCATACCCTTAGAGCACAAGAGAACCCCAGGTCGTAACATGCCCCCCCCCACATACCTCTGCAATTGTCACCCTTGAAACGGCCTATTGGAAATCTTGAAACAGGAACTCCCAAAGTAGAGGCCCCCATCACTGGCCCACGCCTCTGCGCCGGCAAGGGCAGCCCATCGGCACTGGTCTTGCGCGTCATCACCTGAAGTCAGCTGTGAGGGCGTTCCGGGCTTGGGCTTAGTGGCAATAAGATGAGTAGAGAAGATTGTAGTAAGAGTAGTGGAAGGGGCAGCAACAGTAGCAGTAGTGAGAACAATAGTCATACGAGTAATGGTCGTGGACACAACAGCAATGATAGAACTAAAAAATAATTGTTGACGTAGCAGATTGAGGTGCAGAAAAGGGTTTCAGTACTCCTGGTAGTAGCAGCAATAGCAGCAGTAATCTGTTTCACCTCTTCGGTTTGTTTAGCTAGTTGTGCGTCTGACTTCGACCCTGCCAAGAAGAAGAAACAGCAGCAGCAATGGAGTTTAGGGTTGCAGTTGTTGGGGTTTAGAATTTAGGTTTTACCTATATAAAACCCAAATGCAGATACAATAATGGTCCCAAATCCCTCAAACAGGGTTTGGCGTTGATAATTCGGAGCAGCTTGGCTGTGGGCTTGAGGGTTTAGGGCTGGGGTCTGGGCTTCAGTTTTCAAGGCTGCGAGAAGACATGTCCTACTTTTAAGGGACCTAGGGTTTCTAGGTACCATAGACAATAATTATGTAAGGAATATGGAACCCTAATATTGGCAATCATCCCTATAAATCCCTTGATAAACCCCAGTTTCCATTTCATTTTCCATTTGCTTTTCCATTTGATTCTCCATTCTTGGGGTAATATCCCTATACATATATTTGTAATGTGCAGCAATGGCACCAAGTCCCTCGTTGCTGACTGATTCGTTACCCAGGGCTATGAGGAGGTAGCATCTGGGGCCGTGTGGCAAAGGAAGAAATCTAAGAGGTACTGTAGGTACACATGATCTTCTTCGGGTCAGTACTATCTACTTCATCCAATGCTCTTTCTTTTGGCACTGCTCAACGTGACCCGCAAAAGCCTTCTAGCTTAGCCGGCCTGCGACCTAGAAGCTACCAACCGCAGGAACCAAGTCTGGGATCCTCAAGCAGATTCCATCCGGAACAAAATGCAAGTCACTCCACAAATGTCGTAAGCATACTGCAACTGAGATCATGAAGTCTTCTGCCATCAGGAAAATGCTTCACACATGCACGGGGCCCACGCCCATGGGTGCCATCTCCCTGACGCTCCTGGGAGACCTTTCACCAAAAGCTTGAGGCTTGAGTATGAGAATTCAAAGGGCCCAGGCTTGACCGGAAAACCATAGGAAGCTGCATGAAATCTTTTCAAAGCTTATCTAAAATCCCCCTTTTCAAGGCCGGGAAGAAGACTGCAAATGGAAGTAGGCCTCGGGTGTGGGTTCCGCGCAGAGCTGCAATCTTGCGGGTTCAACTTGCTGTGGTCTACGTTGGGATTCTAGAGCGGCGGTTAATCACCTCCCTACTGATGAAAACAAAACAGTTGCAATTGCATGCTACATTGTGGTAATATATCTATAATACTATAATATTGGTGGGGAGAGGAAATTATGTAAGGTCAACATGATGGCATTTACCTCTCCCGGTCCAGTTCAGTACGCAGGAGACTAGTGACTAGGATTCCACAAGCAAGAACTATGTTGCAAGCATTAACCCTAAACCCATAAGCCCCTGCTCAAATCTTGAAACCCTACGCCTACACCCTAAGACGCCAAAGACCCATTCCACGCCCAGACTCTGCGCGTGAAGCTGTTTGGGTGAGTGACTATAATTAATACTTCTCAGCTCTAAGGGTGGTGGAGGGCGGGCAGTGCAGCTTGGAGCCGTTCATACCGCGGCTGTTTACACAGAGGCTAGGATTCTAGAAGGGCAGGACATGCCCTCTGGCCCTGCACTCTGAGAAGACATCGTCCAAATCCGAGACTCCCCACTTCAGCAACCCAGATCACGTCTTCCGGCTACAGGCAAACTAACTACTGTAAAGATGGTCAACTGAGACAAGTCCATAGCTCATCTCAGGCAGGCACCAACGCGCCAACAAACTTCGAGGACTAAACTATTTTTGACCCCCCAACCAAGACCCTTGAGACAAAATGCTGCGGCTCAGTACGGCAATCATCGGGCTTTCAACTCTTTCCATCACATGAAAACAGGCAGGACCGTGTAGAATGTCAACAAACGGAGCTTTTGCGGCAGCATGCTAACCTCCCAGAAACGGTCTGGCTAGTTTTGCCCGCAAGAATGTGCACCCAGTCGAGGCATCGTCCAGTCTTCTGCATGCGTCATAGGAGGGGCGTACCATGCTCAGCACCCGCTGTCCATCTTCAGGTCAGCTGCCACGCTATCTCAGACAAGCTTGGTGCTATTTCAGCCTTTCGACTTTCGAGCTAGTACCAGAGGCCATGGTGTACAACATATCGTGCAACTCAGGTGCATCAAGGGGCATCAAGCGGGTCAACACGCAACTCCTCGAGGAGAGCCTGTGCCGGACCATCGCCCATAGCGAAACGCAAATATTGGAGCATCTTCGCGGTGGGCATGATGTTCTGCGAGATCATCTCACGGAAAACACGCTCTGCCTTGTGGCTCCGGTATCTCTGTTTGTTGGAGTATGCCTGCAGCAGGCAGGAATACTCCTCGCGTCCAAGGCCAGAACCTGCCTGGCCTGAAGCGTAAACGAAATCCTCAACCTTGGACACTTCCCCTTCGAGTGCGTGCGCATAAGCCACTGACAGGAAGGTGGCGGCGTTGCCTGGCACGCCTGCCCTCTCCATGTCTGCATATATGCGCTTGGCTTCCCAGGAGTCCGAATGCGCGACGTAGGCACGCAAGACTGCATTAAACATGCCTGTATCGACATTGACACGTGCGGATATGGCTGTGGATAGCCAACGCTCAGCCTCCTGACCACTCTTGTTGCTTGCCGCCTTAATCAACGCCAAATAGCTGTAACTATCCGGCTGCAGCTGCGCAGTTACCATCTGCTGTAGGACCAGCTCTGCTTCACTGTCCACACCACCTGTCCCGCCTGGGAGAGATTTCGTTCTCAGGGCGCGTATAAGGAATTCCTAGGAATTATAATTTGTTATAATGGTTCACGAAAGTATTTCCAGGAATATCCCAGCCACAAGCTCCAAGGAGGCCGTTAAAGGACAAGGCGTTGGGAACAAGGCCCTCGGAATAGATTCGCTCAAACCACTTCTTTGCATTGCTCACATCTGCGGCTGCGGCACAGCACTTGATGAGGCTGTTCAGCATGGGTAGGGACGGCTCGATGCCGGCCTCGCGAGCCGCTCTGAAGAAGGCCTCTGCCTGAGCCTAGGTTCCCCAGTAAAGCCTAAATAATAAGGGCACCTCCAAATAAAAAGGGAAAAAGGGTACTATACTGGGGTACCTAGGAGCAACATCTTTGCATAGCGCCGCTCCCTCAATCAGAATGCCGTAGATCTTTTGATCTGGGCGGAGGCCCAGAGATGGCAGGTCTTTCAACAAGGCTTGGATCTCTTCCTGTCTGTTGCATCTCGCAAGTACTTGCAACGTTGCCTGAAGGACAGGTCTGGACACTGGCGTTCCAGAGTTTTTGTGCTGCTGCACAAGTTCTTCCCACAGGCTGCTGAGGCTTGTCATCTCATCCTCACTGAGCTTCGAATGCTTCCGAAGCACGTGCAAATGCGATGACAAGCGACTTTCCGCTGTATGTTCAGCGACGGTGTCCTGGGCTGCTTGCTTCGCAACATGTGCCAATGGAGCAGCACCCGCATCCATCAGGCTGCCTATCACTTCCGGGTGCCCAGGAACATCAGCATGCATGCCTGTTAGGCATATCCTTCTTAGCCAAAGCTCAGCTCGTACAACATCCCTTGCCTCGGCACAAGCTGCCACCACTAAGGCCAGGGTCAACGTCTGTGGTTCAAAGGCACTTTTGATAGCACGCTGGAGGATACGCTCAGCCCCGTGAAAATCTCCTGCAGCTGAGCACACACCCAGCATACGATTGAAGAGCCCCATCTTCTCATCTTCTAGTCTCCGGCGCCGTAGCTCTGCTGTAACGAGCCCTCGTCTTGCAAGAAAGCGGGGGCTCGGCAGCTGAAATGGAGCACATCGACGCAGAGACCATTGCTTGCTTGACATAACTTCCCTTAGAATCTTAAGAGCTTGTTTCATGTATAGCTTCCGCTCTGGCTGAGCGCTTCAGTCAAACCCTGCAGTGCACCTGTAACAAACAACCTTCGCGTAATTGATGGCAGACCAAGCCTCTCAATGCTTTCCACTAAGAACATATGGAAGGCAAACAGGCACTACGCTGCAATGTAGAAGCATTTGCAGACTGCTGCCTTCTTGCAAGCTAAAAACCGATGATCCAAAGTTTTAGATCGATTACAATTGTGATGTCAAGACTCATTCGGGGCACCTGGCATTTCGGGCAATCAAGGAATCAGAGCCTACAAACGATTTCAGTAGCTCGAAAGCACCTGTCTGGGATGTTTGGCGCCGGGGCACAAGTATGCTCATGATCTGTTGAACACAATCCAAGAACTAAAATGCACGACCGTGGCAATATCTCCTGGGATAAGGACATCTGCTGGGCCTTCCAGAGGTCTCGCTACGGGCCCATAGCAGTTGAATAACTTGACCAATTCTGGCGCGGAAAGCTGCGCCACAGGTAGGTCGGCTTGCGCAATGTCATCTTGCCTTCAGTTCAGCTGGAAGTTTAACAGCGTCGTGTTGCTTGGATTTGTCAATATTTCCTCCCATAAATCTCAAGAATACATTGAAACACCAAAAATAATGGCTTTAGCCTGGCACACCGGCGGACAGGAAACCCCCCAATAAATCGAACCGGAATGTATATCCCCCCAAAACTTCGCGCAACCTTTTCTCACGCAATGAAATCGTTTGCAGGCACACTTGGACGATGCTAAAAAACGTAAGTTGACTGATTCCAATCCGGAATTGATTCAACCATTGCTTTCAACATATGACACATATACCCACCTGACACAATTCCAAGATCCAACACGAAACGCTGACAATGAATGAAACACATGTTTAACAAGGAGACAAAAATTGTTTTGGTTAATTTTAATAAAGGAAGATATTGATCAGTAAATAAGAGTGTGTACTTGTAAGGTTTGGGGGGCAAAAGAGACATCAATTGCAGTATTTGACCATGTCCAGTGTCAAGAATCCAAAATGTAAAAGGAAATCAAACCTGGTTTGCCAGGTTAATTTTCAGGCTTTAGGATTGGGCTGGTGAAAATCCATTGATTGCAGACCATTGACGAATGTGCCAACTGGCAACCAATCAATACCCCTAAAAAATCATTACGCATCTTCTTCAACCATTCATGGATACGAATATTCACCCACTCAGAATGGAATAGGTTCAAATGAGCGCCATAAAAACGGAACCCATGCTCCAGACAAGCTGGAAAATACGAAATGAACATCGCTGAAACGATCTGTCACTCAACACTGCAGATAGGAACTCACACTTTTTGGGCGCGGCAAACATTGCAATTGCCACAGGGCAGACAGGAGTTGCTGCATGCAAGACGTGAACACCACCGCATCAATGACTGTAACCGGTAACCGACCAGGCCTGGTCATGACAAGTCCGACAAGGTTGGCTGACAAAGCCAAGGGTGGAGAGGGTGGGTAAATTCTTTCAATGACTAAAAGCCAAAATTGCAAATTTGAGACATGAAATCCAAGAAGAGACATGTTGACAAAATTGCAAAAACACTGGTCAGAAGAAAGTATGTGCTGAACTTATGACAACAAAATTTCATGCATGGTTGCAATACAAACATGATCTCCCGTTTGGAGGAATTTTGTCTGATTCCATTATTTACAGATACACGCATTCCCGATTCACAATTGTTCATCAATTTGTATGCTTGCTTTTTTCCACTCAATATATGATCCTGCATTCCAATAGCCTCTCAAGTTGTTTGTTCCGCAAATATGTTTATTATACCAAATTGGTACAACAGAAAAGCAGTCACACCTTTAACATATGGGGCATTGCCAGCATAAGAGCCCTCTGCAGATCACGCAGTGGATAACACATCTCTGGAAAGACCTGCGCAAAAGATATGTTCCACCGCCGGGCGATCACAATTTTCCACCTTTTGTGAAGGTCTATGTACACGGCTGTAGCCGCGGCCCCTCTTTGGCGGCGAAAAACCCCAGTGAGTGCGGTCACCGTAAAACTCGTGAAACAGCCATGAAAAGAGCGCAGCAAATGGGAACGAAGTTCAAGTACCATCCGCTATCGGCTCAGGCGCACAGTGCTTGGCTCAGACACAGTGCAATGCATTTGTACGTGAACACCACATCAAAATTCTTGCCAGATGCACACGCATCATAAAGTTCTAGGGCTGCACAAGCTCCCTCCCTGAAAGTATGGAGCGGTCACCGCAGTCCATACTTGCATGAAGCAGTCAGTATTCTCACCGTTGTACGCAGACTAAGACATAGCAGTTGGACGGGATCTCATCAGCATGTTGTGATTGATTCAGGTCAACACCTGATGCCTCCCAGTTGCCGTCCGTGCACCAGACCTGTCTCCATCGGCCTGAGTCAAACAGCACAGCCCTCCAGCGGCTAGCATTGATGTTGGAGCCAACGAGGACAATTGCAGCCCTGACGCGATAAGGAACCCATTTGCATTCAAGTTCGGCGGAATGGACAAATTTGGGAAGCATGATATCCAATGGCTAATGCCCAGCGGAATCCAATGCTTAACAACACGGCCACTTGCATCCTCACGGAATCTGGGCAACTGAATAATAGGGGAAGCCATCTGGGGCGTTAAATCTAAGCACATGCGCACCTGAGTGTGCCTCGGCGAGCACTTTCTGTAAGGATCCAGTCAGGGCTCCGGCCAAGTTCCGCGAATACAGGGGAGCGGAGCCTTTGATCGTTAGTTTCCGAGGGCCTTTAGTAACCCCCGAGGCCTCCAAGGACACGCACTCAGCACAGTCACAGTACCTAGACACAGCGGGCACTCACACTTTTCCAGACACTGCTCTTCAGAGTCCGTGTGGCTTGAGCCA